CCGATGGCGGCCCCACGAGGTTACGAATCAAGCAACGGCTGTGTGTTCTCGAGTGTCTCTGCACGGTCTCCCAACGATGGGCCCAGAACGGCCCCACGCGGCTTCTGGCACCTCCGCGCTCGCCCCAAGATGGCCCGTGAGGCCCCGACGGGGGCGCATCCCAAGACGGCCCCACGCCCCCCGAGACTGGCCCCGGGGCTGGATCGAGCTCCCGTTGGCCCCCCGAGGCGCCCCAGGAGCTGCCCAATTTGGGGGCCCCCGCCGAGCTCCGGCGCGGCCCCGGGGCCCCTCGAGACCGGGGCCCCGCGAGGGCCGTGGAGGCCCCCTGGGCGGCCCGACGGGGCCCCGCCGTGGCCCACGTGCGCCCCTCTTCCTCCTTTCCCCCTCGCCCCCCCCCCTCTCTCTCCCTCGCCCTCCTCCCCCTCGCCCTCCTCCTCCTCCTCGTCCTCCTACTTTTTCCCCGCCCCCCCCCCCCCCACTGGCCCAGGAGGGCTCCGCGCGCTGTTGGAGACGAGGGGTGGCCCACGAGGGCGCCGCAGCACGTCTCGAGCCCTCTCCCGTGGACGAGGGGTGACGAGGGGGACCTCTTCTTTTCTCCGCCTCGGCCTCCTCCTCTCGGAGCTGGCGCCCCCTCTCTCCGGTGCCGCTCTCATCCTCCACCTCCTCCCCTTGTGAGAGGATCCAGCGAGACTGGACGACGGCCCTCTCGCAGCCGTTGGTGCCACAAGAGCCCTCCAGGGACCACTCCGAGATAGCCCAGAGTCGCCCTCAAGACCCTCCCTCTGCGGGTTCGGAACCAAGCTGTTCAACTTCGACGAGTTGTTCACCCACGGTGTGTGAGGCCCAGGTTTAGCACACAGTGGATTTAATCCATGGGTTCGCACCAGTCAGCTACAGTGCTGGGATGAGCGCGTGCGAAAAGGGCGGGCAATGGCAGCGGGCGCTGGCGCTGCTCGGCGAGATGTGGGAGGCGAAGCTGGAGCCCAATGTTATTTCGTCTTTAGTGACAGGAGCGCCGCGTTTCAGAACGGTGCCAGAATCAGGCGGCGTAACATCGGCCCAGCACGCCCTGACGGCACAGGTGGGCCCCAACATTAAGTCGGGCTTGTCCCTCTGCAGGAGGTATATTCAAAAATGGTCAAAACATAGTTTTGGGATGTTTTTTTTAAACCTATGTTTGACCATTTGGACCTCTGCTTTACGTTTTTTTGGTTTGGCCTCAGATTAAGTCGTCCCAAATCCGCCTGTAGGGGGGCACGCCCGGCCCAGTCCCAGCAGAGACCCCCCGCGACGTTCCCAGAGGCGCCCGGCCGCCCACCGGGAGGGCTCCGGGACGGCCCCCTTCGCTGTGGATCTCCAAAAGAAGGCCCAGGACCGCTCCCAGACGGCCCGCGCGAGACGGCGGGAGGAGGAGGAGGAGGAGGAGGAGGAGGAGAAGAGGAGGAGGAGGAGGAGGAGGAGGAGGAGGAGGAGGAGGAGGAGGAGGAGGAGGAGGCCGAGGACCGCTCCGAGGCGGCCCAGGTGTGATAAAGAGCGAGTGTGCTACAAACTTCTATCGCACACCGAGCGCGTTCCACTACTCGCAAAGGTCCCTACTCGCAGACGTCCGACAAAAAAAACATGTTGGCTTTGATGCATTTTTTATCGGAGATCCCCCGCGGCGCATCCAGGCCATTTGCGAGTAGTCACTTTGCGAGTAGTGGAACGCGCTCGTCTAATCACACTTGTTCGGAGCATCGTTTTTGAATCACACGGTTTTTTACCACACCTGCTCGGGGCCTCGCCGCGGGCCCAGTGGGCCCCCAGCGCGCCCCAGGGCGGCTCGAAGGGGACCCGAGACGTTCCCAGAGAGGCGCCCGACCGCCCACCAGGAGGGCTCCAGGACGGCCCCCTAGGGATCTCCAAAAAGACCCACGAACTAAGTGGGGCGTGCCCCTCTGCAGGAGGAATCTTCAAACGCAGTCAAAACATAGTGTTTCTCTTTTATTTATGTGTTTTTATATAACATATTGTTGTATGTTTTGACAATTCTTTGTTTTTCGTCCCACATCTGCAGATGGCCTCACCACGGCCCCAGTGGGCCCCCAGCGCGCCCCAGGGCGGCTCGAACGGGATTCCTGTGCGAGCCTCCCGCGGCAAAAGCCGCCGCTCTTCCATGAGGATGTGGAGCGCTTTCGCGTCCTCGCCTTTTTCGGGAGATCCCCCACGAGGAGCCCCGGAAGCTCCCCGCTGCCGCCCCAGGACGGCCCGAGAGGCCCGAGCGACCGAGCGGTGAGTAAGGAGCAGCAGCGCTGGCGCTGCTTCCCTCTGCTGCTGCCTCCCAGCCCCAGGGCGCCCTTCGCCGCTGCCGCCCAGGGGGAGGCGAAACACACCAGAGGCCTCCAGGGAGCGCAGCCCCCAGCACAGTCTGATCCCAGAGGGGCGCGGAGACGGCGCCCAAACGGACGCGGTTCCCTGCGCGTCCGCAGTGAGCCCCCATGCACAGTCTACCGTGCGACATTTCAGATGCCCTGGGGCAGCATCGATCTCTCCCGTGGGCACGAAACAGACAGCAGCAACGGCGGCACAGCAGCAGCGGCAAGCAACGGCGGGCAGCGGGTAGAAGCACGCACCAAGCGGAACTGGCCATCAGCAGCAACTTGCAGCCACAAGCAGCAAGAGCACCAAGAGTACACAAAAACGGCAGCAAACAGCAGCACGCAGAAGCATGCGCGGGATGTGAGGTCGGGCCCCGCAACAAGATGCCAATTCGTGCAGACTTCGTGGACGGAGTCCACGGGTCAGTCCAACCGACGTCGCCAGTTTCCTTCGGTGCCCGCAGCACACGACGACCACCACCACCACGACAACGACGCCGACTACGACAGGTACGACGGCGGCTTTGCGGCGGCGATGACAACGACGCCGACGATGACGGCGACGACGGCGGCCCCTTGACGGCCAAGCTGCTGGAGCGCTGCTAGAGCTCGGACACGAAAGCGCGAACTCGCTGCCGCCGCCCTGGCCGCCGCCGTGCTTATAGGTATTCGGCAAAATCTCCGCAGTTCCTCCGAAAACCATTCCAGAACAAGTCGTGGTCGGAGTCCACGGGTCAGCCCTGGTCAGCTACAGCGCTGGAATCAGCGCGTGCGAGAAAGGCGGGCGGTGGCAGCAGGCCCTGTCGCTGCTCAGCGAGATGTCGGAGGCGAAGGTGGAGCCCAACGTCATCTTTACTACTGCATTGCAGGTCCCCGCGCGTGCAGGGGATCTCGGATCAAGAGGATCTCGGAGCTTCAGAAAGCCGACGGAACCCAGGGGAAGCGCCCGCCAGACGCCTCCAGACGGCCGTCTGGTGCTCTCAGTGGGCCTGGCGAGGCCCGAGAAATTTTTGAAAACTTTTCAACATGACGCCCAGATGGTCCCCAGAGCTTCGCCGAGGGCCCCCGTGAGCGAACATGGTGGAATTCCGAATTTCAGCGCTTTCGTACACGTTCACGGCTCCCCACTTTTCGGGTCCAGGAGGCTCCGCATAGGACCCCTGGCGCCTCCGAGAGGGCTAAAGAGGCATACGTGAGCTCTCAGCTCTCAAGAGAGCGTCTCAAGCCCCAGAGGTCACCCAAGATGGGGCCGGTCGGCCTCCACGCTAGTCCCAGATGGACAGCCCCAAGACGGCCCAAACCGCGTTGAGATAGGCCCATGCCCCCCCCCGACCGCTCACAGATTTTCCAAAACGGCATCCAGAGGTCCTAAGGTCCTTCTAGATGACCCCATCGGATCCATGATGGCCCAATCTGTTTCCAAGACGCCCCAGAGGCCTCCCAGGCACACAGCATCATCAGCGACAAGCAGCAGCGCGCAGCACCGCCAAGCCGCATCAAGCAGCAGCGTGCCACGGCCAACATCAGGCCGTAGCGACAAGAAATCAAGCAAGTTGCGGCAAACCACACCAAGCATCAGCAAGCGACAGGAAGCGGCAGGATGCGGACGGACAGACAAGAAAAGCAAGCAATCCGCAAGCGGGCGGTTCGGCCAAACGTTATCATGCCACCAGTGTGTGTGTGTGTGTGTGTGTGTGAGCGTGCGTGCGTGCGTTCGTGCGTGCGTGCGTGCGTGTGTGTGTTTTCCGTATGTGTGTGTGTGTTTTCCGTATGTGTGTGTGTGTGTGTGTGTTTTTTTTTTGTGTGTGTGTGTGTGTGTGTGTGTGCGTGAACGTGTGTGCGTGTGCGTGTGTGTGTGTGTGTGCGTGTGTGCGTGTGCGTGTGCGTGTGCGTGTGCGTGTGCGTGTGCGTGTGCGTGTGCGTGTGCGTGTGCGTGTGCGTGTGCGTGTGTGTGTGTGTGTGTGAGTGTGTGTATGTTGTGTGTGTGTGTGTTTTGGGGGGGGGGGGGGGGGCGGGGCCTGCAGGTGGGGGGCCTGCAGGTGGAGGAGGGAGTGAAGGCTGCGTGAGGGCCCTCTCGGGACCAGTGGACGGGAGGCGCTGCCACCTCCGAGGCCACAGCTCGCGCAGCCGGTGGCTCAGGGGCAGCAGGCGGGCAGACCAACAGGCGAGCGGTCCTCACCAGTCTGCGGAGCCCCCTCGCGGCGCCCCAGGACTCCCTGGCGCTCTCGCGGGCCCGTCGTTCCCTCGTCCCTCTCTCGGTGATCCCTGCTCGTCTCGCTGCTCGCTCCTCTTTCCTAGCCTCTAGCTTCTCGCTGGTGGCTCCTCGCTCTTGCCTCGTCCCTCCTCGCATCTCTCTCCTGCCAGTCCCACGAGGGCCTCGAGAGCGACCCAGGGAACCCCGCAACGGTCACTAGCTTACGCCTCCTCCCTGCTCATTCCTTGCTCGTTTCTCGCTGTTCGTGCATCGGGACCGTTGTCAGTATGAACGAATTTCAGCCGTGTTTCCGATATCACCGTGCCACTTCGGAAAGGTTGTGTGGACGGTAGTCGACTGATCAGCTTTAATTCGTCAGCTACAGCGCTGGGATCAGCGCGTGCGAGAAGGGCGAGCAGTGGCAGCGGGCACTGGAGCTGCTCAGTAAGATGCGGGAGGCGAAGCTAGTGCCCGATGTCATCTGTATTGCAATGCTAGCCGAAGCGGGTCGAAGCGCGTGCGAGAGACAGTTGGCCGGAATCATTGCCGACGCGGGGGGAACCCGAATTGGACTGAGGAAGAACCGTTAAAACGTTCATTGGGCTGGTTCAGCCCAAGATGGCCCGATGAGGCCAAGTCGGCCCAGGAGAGCACCAATACGGCCCCAGAGGCCCCCAATGTAGCTCAGGATGCCCCCAAGACGGGCCCAAGACGAGGAAACCCACAGGGCCTCAGGAGCCCTTCCCCCCACAGACCCCCGAGGCCCGAGAGGCCCTCCAGATGGCCGTCCACACGGCCCCAAGACTCCCAAAGAGGCCCCACCCCCACAGCCCAGGAGGCGCCTAAGGTGGGCCCAGGAAGGGGAACCTCGAGACGGCCCCAAGGCTGCCAACAGGCAGGCTCTGAGCGACCACCGGCACAGGCAACCTTCACTGCTTCTGGTCGGAAACTGGAGCATGTACATTACCAGTGGCGGGCGGTTTTTCAATCGCAGGACTTTTTGAGGGTCGGGGACGACGTCGGGGTGGTGTGGTGTATACTTTTTTTCCCCATATCCTAAGGATTGGGGTTCTTGTTCCCCATATCCTAAGGATTGGGGTTCTTGTGATTACTCTGACGCCTCCCACTGCTCCTCCTTCCTCCTTCCTCCCGCTCGCGCCTCCCTCCTCCCAATGATAATCACCAGATAAGACAAGACAAGATAAGATAGAGGGAGCCTCATGGTCACAAAACGCTGCCAGGGGCATAAGATAAGATAAGATAGCACAAGATATGATAAGAAGAGATTTCAAGATAAGATAATATAAGTTAAGCTCACACTCACACTCTCTCATGATCACAAAACGCTGCCAGGGGCATCATTTGGGAGCCCCAAGGGGGAGCCACCCTGGCTGATCTCACGAGCCCGTTCGCGCCGATTTTGGTGGGACGTCTCAGCTAGAATTGCCGTTTGGCCCCCCAACATGTCTCTCTTGAGAGCCTCATGGTCACAAAACGCTGCCAGGGGAATTGCCGTTTGGCGCCCCCAACATGTATCTCTTGAGAGCCTCATGGTCACAAAACGCTGCCAGGGGCATCATTTGGGTGCCCCAAGGGGGAGCCACCCTGGCTGATCTCACGAGCCCGTTCGCGCCGATTTTGGTGGGACGTCTCAGCTAGAATTGCCGTTTTGGCG